CAGTGCTTATCCTACACTACGGACGCCCTAGTGTATGCACAGTCCTTATGATGCCAGAAATGCCTACCCCTCTTTGCAGCACAAGGCATACATAAGCGGGGGGTAAATTTACCCCCCAGATTTGCAATAACCATACACCGGCTATTTCCTCAAGACACTCTATTCCATATACCTTTTACCCGTGCTTCTCCTACACTACGGACGCCCTAGTGTATGTACAGTCCGTATGATGTCAGAAATGCTTGTCCCTCTTTCCGACTCAAGGCATACAAAAGCGGAGGGTAAATTTACCCCCCAGATTTGCCGATCACGCATCTTCGTGCCTGCCAACGAGTGCACCCGGGTTGTTCCAATATACCCTTCCCAGTCAGCGATGTCACATTTACATTCTTTAGCGCAAAGTATGTACATAGCAACCTTCCTCCCAAAACATGTAATCCCTACATGCTTTGCCGACTATGTAACTAGTACATCCGGTGCGATTCGGCTAGCTTTCGACCTCTCCCCTGGCCTCAAGTGATTGCTTAGAGGAATTTAGATTTTGGTGGGGATGAATTTTGTGATATTGTAATATAATTGATGACGATTAATTTATTTTTAATATATGGATTTTTGATGGCCATTGAATTAATAATCGGCCAGGAGGTGTGTGTGTGAGTTCTTTGGATTTATAGGGATTCTGTTGGATTATATTACTTTATAATTCTTTTAGTAGGGGAATTATTCGCGAATTTGATTGATAATCCAATGAAGAGAGTCAAATTCTATATTGATATTTTATTTGATTCGTCAGATATATTTGCAATTTTATTTGAGAAAATTTATCGTGGACCTTATTTATAATTAGAATAAGATGTCTAGAAACAGACCGAAATAGATAGACAGGCCGACCGAGACAGACAGATCGAAACAGACAGACCGAAACAGACAGACCGAGAACGAGACAGACCAAGACAGACAGACCGAGAGCGAACACAAACAGACCGAGACTTATAGGCCGAGCCAGACAGACCGACCGAGACAGACAGAGCAAGACAGACAATTACAGACGATTGATATCGTACGTGTGTTCGTCCGCGTATCCTGCCCGACCGAGACAGACAGATTGACAGACCCGAGACAAACAAACTAACAGACCGAGACAGACGCACCGAGACAGACAGACTGAGACACGCTTGAGCCCGGTATTTCCTCCCAGCTCCAGGGGCATAAGTTGTTAGGGGAGAGGGTATCTGTCTCAACCGTGTTTATAGAAAGTTCTTGTTTCCATCGGTTCGTTATCGGCAGATGTACATTGTCGTTTTGGATGTATCGAATCGAAATTGGAGGTTGTATAGATTTTGAGGAAATTTGGACCATCGTATTTATCCCTCTTCTGGTTTCTTAGGGTTTTTCATTTAGGTTGGCGCACGGGACCGCATTCATATTAGTACGAATTTCTATAAGTGTGTCTCTCCTAGTGAGAGTCTAGGGTGATCCCGCAGAGTGGTCCCTATGGATCCGTTTTTGTTTCCAATGCCGTGGAAATGCACGTGCCTAGAGCGGACGCAGTAGGTTTAAGTTATTTGCCAAGATTTGGCGATTATTGAATAACAAATTGATTCATACCTTTACATGACCATAACGGTCTAAGCAGCCAGCCACTTTGGCAGGGCTCGAGGTGACCACAGCGATTAATATATTTTTGTGGTTCGTTGGAATCTGCCGAAAACTCAAGTGCACACACAGCGTATACACATAAATGAGGCAAGGTTTTCCTGTGTTTTAATGAGGTTTGGTTTCGTTGATTTCTGTCCCCTTCATTTGATTTCCCCTTTCATCTTTTTTGTCTTTCATATATATTTGTTCTCCTCTATTCTTTCATGTCCTCCTGTCTTCATATCTTTGATTTCATCTTTTCTTTCGTTTGCGCGCATATTGGTCCCGGCCTACGTGCACAATTACATGTATGTTAAATCCCAATTTTAGGTGGTCCAGATCCTTATAATGAGGTGGGATTCATTGTTTGTTCCTATGCACTTGATTGCCCTTTCATCACAGCCACCTATACCTTTGGTCCGTCCCGTCCTCTTATTATGTCTTCATTCTTTTGTCGCTTTTGATTAATATTGGAAAAAAAAAAAAAAAATGTTATTTTAAATTGCGCGCGCTGTGAAGCTTGGGCATTGGTTTCGTTGTAACGTGTTGTCGTTGTGCGCATTTGATTTTGAAGTTTGCAAGGGTGTTGGTGCCGTTGTGGGGTATTGTTGTTGCGTATTTTTGGGAGCTTGGGTGGTGGTGCCGCTACACGGCGCCGCTGTTGTGTGTGCTTGGGTGTTGGCGCCTTACCTGCGTTCCTTTTTTCCTTTAAATGGTTGTTTTAAATCGAGTATATATCGATGCGTATTTCGGTTATTATTATTATTATATATTTTTATTTATAAATATTTCAAAAAACAATAAATTTTTAAATATTCAAAATATATTTAGATGCAAATGTTTTTTTTGCCTGCCCGTAAATATATAAAGGCACTCAGTTATATTTCCATATAAATATATACATATCTATATTTTTGTATATTTCATTTCAAGATGTATTTAAAATTCATATCAATATAAATTCATTTATACCCAAATATGTTTTTCGAATCCAATTCCATTATTCCAACCATCTGTATTAATTAAAATATATATATAATTAATATTTTCGAAAAATTATATAATACATATCGAATAATTCCCATCATAATATTTCATATATAACAATAATTCTATTTATTATATTATATATTATACGTATTTATCATATATATTTTAATCTTATATATATATAGCTATATATTATTTATAAATATATTAATATATTTTCAAAAAATAAATATTTATCTATACTTATTTATTAATATTATATTTAATATAATTATATAACAATTAAGTTCAATAATATTCATTAATTTTAAAAATTATCGATTAATATTTAATAATATCCATTGTATATTATATAATTAAGATCAATTATATCCATTACGATCGGAAATTAATATAAAAACCCCATATTTATATCAGAATATATCGCCCTCCCCAGTGGCACGGCGCCACGCAAACGCGCCTCCCATCAAGGCCACGCAAATCTACATAGCACTACGACATCACGGACGTAATTTCGCCACGCGGTCTGCCCACACACTATAGAAGCCGCCAATTATTCCGTTCACCAGCGACACGCCGCATTTACACCAAGCACGTTTCGCGCTCCCCGATGGCACGGCGCCACGTAAACGCACTTTCCACCAAGGCCGCGCAAATCCGCATGGCACTGCGACATCACGAACGTAATTCGCCACACGGTCTGCCCACACACTGCAAGCAATCATATCCCACTAGAAACAAACATTTCTGAGTCCAGCTCCGCAACGCCGTTTCCTGTACTACATGTGCACCACAAACTGGCCACTTCTGAGTCCAACTCCGAAAGGCTCTTTCCCGTTCTACACTTGTACCATACAAACTAAGTCCAGCTCCAAAAAGCTCTTTCCCGTACTACATTTGCACTACAACTGGCCAGGTCTGAGTCCAGCTCCGAAAAGCTCTTTCCCGTACTGCATTTGGACTACAAACTGCCCACTTCTAAATCCAGCTCCGAAAAGCTCTTTCACGCACTACATTTGCACTACAAACTGGCCAGGCCTGACTCCAGCTCCACAGTTAATGAAGCGCCAAGTCTCCAAAATGAGCGCTTCGTACGAGACTTCCTCCAAAAGTGAAGCGCCAAGTCTCCAAAACGAGCGTTTCGTACAAGACTTCCTCCAAAAGACTTCCTCCAAAAGTGATGGAGGAAAGTCTCCAAAGCGAGCGCTTCGTACGAGACTTCCTCCAAAAGTGAAGCGCCAAGTCTCCAAAACGAGCGCTTCGTGCACGACTTCCTTCAAAAGTGAAGCGCCAAGTCTCCAAAACGAGTGCTTCGTACAAGACTCCCTCCAAAAGTGAAG